TTTTTTGGTTTTTCTCCGGTACCGGGAACTGAACTCACGACCTTGCGCTTGCCAGGCAGGCGCTTTTGCCGCTGAGCTAAATCCCCAGCCCCCTATGAGCTGGGACTTCTCATGGCACCAAAGCCACAGCCCCACTGCCCAGTTTGCTATACCCTCTTCGGCGGGGTCAGATCCGCTTCCTCACCTCCGGCACAGGTGCCCTGGTGCATTCTACTCGCGCGTCATTTTGGGACCTCTTCCCTTGGCTTAGCCAAATTTTAAAGATGAGTTCTGCTCTCCTAAAGGATCTGGTCTATCCCATCTTCTGCTTTTTAGAAAATATTTCAAGGCATCCATCAGGAGTCCGATAAAGGCTTTTGTACAATGTGAACCCATGTTTGACTTTCAGTGTCCTCAGTTATTCTTTGTATAACACTTTCAAGGTCAATCCTGGAGGTGTGGGCTCTTCTAAGGCTGACTTTGGGATGTTCCTCTTTAAATATGGCATTTGCAACCAGTGCCCGGCTTGAAGCGGGCACCTCCTGAGCGCAGCCTGGCCTGGAGGTTGGGTTCTCTTTTGTGCTTGCCGCTCTGCAGCTGCGGCCCTCAGGGCAAGTTGTTTCTGTTGGAATTGAGCAGCCCTGGGCCTTACAAGTCTGTCCACCCTATCACAGAGAAAGCCATGTGAACAAAATCCCGAGCAGGATGAGGTATTTGTTGTCTCCTTTGCTTCCTTGCAGCTCTCTGGAGAACTCCAGGCAAGCCCTTCCGGGTCATCAGAGACCCTTCCGGAAGTCTTCCTCGAACACCCCAAATGAAGGTGCTTCCATTTAGAAGGCCAAGGGGAGACTGGTCAGTCTTTAAGATAATCAGAGATGTTAGAGTTGGGGCGTGGCCTTGTGGAGGTGACCCTCGGCTCTGGGGTCTCAGTGCCGCAGGTGCAGTTTAACCAACCCATGTGCAACGCCATCCAAATGGTTACCGGAGTGGATCACTTCTGTGATCTGGGGACAATGTGTCTGTAGCACATTAGTCACAATTCTCCCTTACATGCAAAAGCATGCAAACACCTCTGAATTGCTTATCTCAGGCTCTATTTTTACTCTATCTCATATTACTTTTTAAAAATGAAGAAGGGGGTCAGTCACAGTGGGTTGTTTCCCTGTGTCACCTCAGAAATACATATCATTGAAAATCTGCCTATTTATATACTTAGGGTGAGTGCCATTGTAACCGACAAACACGTCAGTCTCTTTACTGACTCTGGAGGCTGGGCTGTTTTCTTCAGAGCAGTGTCTTCTGGGGTTGCTGTTTAAATATTTAAGTGTAAGGCGCTCTAAAGGCATCGGAATGGCCTGTACTCTCGGGGAGCAGAGGGCTCTCATACAGGGAAGGAGGGCCTGGGTTTCTATTGTACTATTTTTCTTTTTGAAAGGCAACTTCAGAAAAGGATTTTCAAACATTACAGCAAAATTGCCACAAGGAACAAGAGATTATCATTCCTCTTGTCTGCCTGTCCTCCTCCTCTCTCTTGTGTTCCATAGATAACGCTTTGGAGCTGTGGGGTATCAGTTGCTTTATAATCTAAATGTCCTGTCTGGTATTTGTGGTTGGGTTTAGGAAGAACATCTTTGAGTCACATCCTGATGGGCAGCACTTCCAGAGCTCACTAGTCCGGAGGATTTGGCAGAGGGCAGCTGGGACTGCTGCGCTCTGAGATAAAGCAATGTCAAAGCCCCAGCATCTCCATCTATGAACACTGACTCTCGTTCTGCTCTTTTAATAAAGGACTCTACCATTTATTATGGGAGGCGGGCTATTGAGACGAGGGAAGGAAGCAGGCCCTGGAGATGAGCTCAGTCATACACATGAGCGGTCACATACATAGGAGCAGTCAGTCTGTTCATGGGGCTGCAGTGTTGTGTTGTTGATCCCCACCCCAGTAGAGACATCACAGGATTAATGAGACATTCTCAAAGCAAAATGCCGGACCAGACCAGTCTCCACCTTATTCTTCTTACTCCTCAGACTCCCAGGAGGTCACCGCTATACAGCTGCTTCTGCTGTTCTTTCAGATGCAATCCTCTCTTTAGGACAGCACACAGCAGGGAAAGGACTTTTCCAGTTACGGGTTTGCCCCCTGCCCTCGCCAGAGACTGCCCATCTTTGGGTTTGTGCTATCCAGACAGGCACATATTCTATACCTCTAGCTACCTCACTGGGTGTCCAGAAGTACTAAAACTATAGGCTCAACATGATTTTGAGGTGTTCACTTAAAAAAATAATTTTTTTATGGTGGACATAGTTTCATAGCACATAATTTGAAGAAGTACATTTACAGCAACCTGGCTTTAGCTAGGGAATATGAAACAATGCTCACAGAACATTTCATGACAGAATAAGAGAGACATGAAGGAAATTTTCGTCTTGCAATTGGCCCCTTTGTGAGGGTAACCCAGTTCTCTGGGGTCTCCTTTGTCTTCTCCACCATCAGGAATGTGTCTGTGGAGAAGCCAGGGCTGCATAGCCCGAGGGTCTAGCCAGGGGAAGTGAGGAGTAGCAGAATCCAGCTGAAGCGTTAGAGTGGCATGCCTCTGCATGGAGTTAGGCCCAGATGTGACGAGGAGTTACCTACGGGGGTCATATCCTGATTAATCCAGCCTGCTTGGAAGAGCTGCCCCAGGTGGACCTGTTCACACACTCTCTGTTGCCCCCCTGTCGGTGAGTTTGCACCTGGAAACTGGCCGCTATTTTAGTTTCATGTGATGCTCACTGCTGCTTAAAAATAAGACAAATCAACATGGCTCGGGACAAAGACTCCATCTGGCAGATTCTGCCTCAAGGAGAAATTAAGTGGTGCAATGTTAAACAGCTTTCTGAGAGGAGATAGGGCTTATTAAGAGGTAAATAAACAGCAAGAGAGGTTTGTAACCAACCGTAGGCCACACGGGTACAGGTAAGAGGGGGAAAGAGAAGAAGAGAGGACACTTAAGGCTCCATTTCCCCAGTAACTGGGTTTTGTAAAAAGAATTTTGTAGAACTCTAGGAGAGGAGATTTGTCAGGGGATAAACTGTCTGCTGGAAATTGCTATTCAAAATAGGACAATGAGTTGACCTGAGCTGCCCTTCAGCAAACTTATTAAATGCCGGGCCTAGGATACTCCAAGTGTTGGCCCTGTAATGAATGGAGAATACCAAGAAGAATGAGCGCAGTACATGGTTTAAGAACATCTTCGAATCCCAGCTTTTTCACTTAGGATGGTGTGACCTTGGGAAAGTCACCTAACCTCTGAGAGCCTGTTTCTTCTCCTGCCACTTGAAGGCAGTGTGTGCACTTGTCTCAGAGAGCTGCTGAAAGAAGATGGGCGACAGGGCCACATGAAGGACTGAGCTCGTGGCTTTGCACGTACAGGTTCTCAGTGAATACAGCCTTCCTTTAGCATGGGGAAGACAAGGCAAAAACGATTGCTAGTGGTATGGTGCAGCCTAAGCACCATTCTGCAGCCCCCAGAGTTTTCTTTTCCATGTTATTTTATGCTTCAAATTACATTTCATGGCTTGGGCCCAGGCAACAAAAACAACCTGCAAACACAGGAAACTGTCAAAATCGAGATCTTTCGTTAAGCCCAGAAAAGAAGCACTGAAGTGAACACTTCAGGTTTGGGAAGGTGGCCAACAGGACAATGCCCAGATATGTGTATCTCTCAAATCTGGACTGGA